TTTTCATTTAACTATTTCAATCCATGTTTTCTGTTGTGGAGATGGTAGAGCTTGATACCATCTTGGCAAAATGAATTTAAGGCAAAAAATATATTTGATGTACCATTTGCCAGATCTATAATTAAACTAGGGAGCCTTATTTGGTTAATACAATTACAAAATAATTGGTCAGAGGCCAGGAGAATTGTTGATTTTTCTTCCAGGTTTCTTTCTTAGGAATAAAGTAGTTTCAAACACCTGAATAAGATTTTACATTCAAACCATTTATAGGGAGGTTTAATATTTGAGCTGCTAAAAAGAAGTTTACCATTTGAACTGTTAGGAGAGTGTTAAAGGACTCCAACAGTTAAAGGATGAATAGAGGAGGATGAATTGGCAAAAGAGACTGAGAAAAAATAGTAGAAAGAACACAAGGAGTATCTGGTGGAATATAATCCTATAGAAGAGAGTGTTTCATAAAAGAGAGAGTCATCAACATGTTCATGTTGAATGCTGCTGAGAGATCAGATAAGCTGAGGACTAAATTGTCCATTGGATTTAACAACCTAGAGGCCATTGGTGACCTTAGATGTGTAAGTTTCACTTTGGGGAAACAGAGGGAGTTTCTGTCTCTTTCGTGTAGTAGAGGTGACAGGGTGAAATTTTAGCTAAATTGAACACAAGAGTATTCATTATTACTGCTTCACCATCATCTGTAGAAGCCTTTAGATTCCAAATTCCATTTGATGTGACATTTTCCAAGATAACATATCTCTCTCACCCTCCAAGGCATCCTCACCTATTGTTTCAAACATGCTGAAATAGCGCACTTGTCTTCTGTGGTCAGTAATCTCATTTTGCTCATTAATGCACATCTCATCAAAAGCTAAACCCTAAGAGATTAGGGAGGAGGAAAAGGAATTTCAGTGATTTCAGTAGTCTTAAGGTTTGATCCCCTGGACTTTAGGGCCAGTGCTTATTTTCATGACTACCAAAAAATACAGTGTCCTTAGTCAACTTGTAATAAACAAAACTACAGAAATAAGTTTGCATTTCCAAGCATCTTCCCATATAAACAAAGTGACAATTTGGGAACTCCTGAAAAGCTTGTAACATATGTCATTATATAACTTATACTGAGTGACCAGCATACTTAAAAAACCAGGAAAACCGGTTTCACCTAGACTTACAGACTTAGGTGAGTAGATAAGTTATTTGGAATTCCTTTAACAAAAGTCAGTTTCAGAGTAAATGAGTTGGGACTCTGATCCATGACTGATTACTAAACCTTGTGACTCTGATCCCAGGAAATAAGACTGACTGAAAATATAAATACTGACTCATGAATTAACTAGATTCATTAATTAGATCTAGTTCTCCATGCTAAGTAGGGCAAAACTGTTTTCCACAAAATTCAAGATTTTTTAACTCTGGCCTTCCTCCCAAACTAAAAGGCAGTCCCCTTCCTCTCTCAGCTACCTCAAATTAAGTAAGTTCTTTGTACTCATATTTGATTATTTCCCAGTCACTAAGCTCTTGTGTGAGAAAGTATGTTCAAGTGTCCCTGGGTGTAAATGGGTTTGTGTTTATTGTATTTCTCCCCTTCATTTATCAGTTCCTTAAAGGTCATTCTCTGTGGCAGTGGTTTTGAGTTGTTTCTTATGTCCTCAGAATTACTTCACCAAAGATCCTGAATCGTACCATGATGGAAACAAATAAACTCGTGTTTACATGCATTCTGTTATTATACTTCTCACTTACTGTATTATTTTAATGACCAAAAAATTGTAGCAATGTGGTAGGGAGTACATTTCATTGCAATAATAATGGCAGGTAACATTTATTTAGCATTTTGTACGTGCCAAGCAATGTTTTAAGTGCTTAATATCTATGACTCGTTTAATCCTCTTAACAATCCAATGCATTAGGTACTATGATAGGCCTCATTTTTGTAGATTAGGTATCTGATGCACAGAGAGGTTAAATATCCTGCTCAGAGTCACCTGATCAGAGCCAGGATCCACATCCTGGCAATCTGGCTCCTGCACCCACATTAGGGGCTATGCTATAAAATGATCCACTAGATAAAACCAAGTATTTCACTAGTAACTAAAAATATGCTAATATTTTGGAGTATGAACTTTACCACTACAGAACTGAAATGAAGATAAAAAATTTCAGCAGTAATATCAGCAGATAAAGTGGGCAGAAAATGGTGCATTATGCTTGCAAGTGAATGTGGGGATTAAGGAAGAATGAATATTCAAAGATTCTAATGAAAACCTCGCGTCCTACGTAGGATGCTTTTCCTTTCCCACTAATGGTTTGCATATCCCTAGTAGAGAGTAGAGAATTACTGCATTAGTAAACGTTCTGCATGACTCCCTACTACAGCTGCTGTATATGATTCCAAGCAGAGTGGACCCTTGGTGAATATTGGCGTCTGATTCGAAAGTTCATTTGTTCATTCAAAAACCATTTATTGAGAATCTACCCTCCCAAAACTGATAGATCTGTAGGGGAGGCAAAGATATAAACAAATAATTACAGCACAGTAATATAAGTGAAAAATAGAGGCATGTGCAAGGTATATAGTGGGGATACCAAGATGAAGAAGAGACGTGGTGGGGGACAGGATGACAGGGAGAAGAGGGTATCCCTGAAGAGAAAGTATTTGAATTGGCTGAGTGAGTTCTCCAGGCAGACAAGGAGTAGGGAAGCCCATTCCAAGAAAAGGGAGTGGCATGTGTAAAGACTCATAGATATGAAATAGGATAATGTGTTCAAGGAACTGCAAGTCCCTTACTATGATGGAGACATATGGTGCAGGGAAGGAAGGGAATTGAAGATGAAGCTGGAGGACTAGAAGAATATGGCAAGGACTGGAAGAATATGAAGGAATTTAGAACTTTATTGGAGACAATAGAGAAATAGAGACCAATGAATAGTTGTAAGCAGGGGAGTGACACAATGAATTTAATACTCAAATTGAACTGCAGCTTCTTCCAATTGATTATCACATATGAATGATGTATTAAAAAGAAGTCAAGCAGGGGCCAGCCCCGTGGCTGAGTGGTTAAGTTCGTGTGCTCTGCTGCGGCGGCCCAGGGTTTCTTCGGTTCGGATCCTGGGCGTGGACATGGCACCACTCATCAGGCCATGTTGAGGCGGTGTCCCACATGCCACAACTAGAAGGACCTGCAACTAAGATGTACAACTACGTACCAGGGGGGATTTGGGGAGATAAAGTAGAAAGGAAAAAAAAAGATTGGCAACAGTTGTTAGCTCTGGTGCCAATCTTTAGGGGGAAAAAAAAGAAATCAAGCATATGAGAGTTTTATATCTAAAGTAGCCATCTGTAGTGCACGGTTATTGTTTATACCTGCCCAGCATCCACGCTTTCTTTCTTTCATTTTTTGTAGTAGCACCTTGATTTTCCTTTGGGGGGTTAACCCTCCCCCAATGCCTACAGTCTCCAACAACTACCAAACAAGTTATCCTGCCTTCCTTAGCTGCAAGTTGAGCAAGGGATCTGAGCAAGTTTCCTTCAACTCTTCCAGGAACTCAAATTTTCTGAAGAGTGACTCAAGAATGGGAAAAGGTTATAGCTGATACACTTGGTGTCAGCACCCTGAAGGAAGCCCACACTTCCTGTTACCCAGATCATCAAAGTTACCTTAGTTTCCCCCTTTCTGAAGCTGGGTCTTCCAGATTGCTTTCTATTCCTTGAACTTCCCCATGACCTTCCAAAGAATTCCATTTTGGCTTGAGGTAATGCATTCTTTTTTGCTCAAACTAGGTGCATTTGCTCCAAGCTAAGAACCTTAATTTGTACATCACCTGTGGGGAGGATCTGCCTGCCTTTATCTGCTGAAATTAGCTGGAAATTTTGTACTTAGGTTGTTGTACTCCTACCAGCCTCGACATAGCAGGCAGCTCTTTTCTCTCTGGGTCTTGCTGCTGTGCTAGTATGCTGGTAAAGAAGTAGGTTCAAGTTTGCTTTGCTCTCAGAATCTGCAAACCTCTCTCTCTCTGCTTCTCTTCTCCCCTCAGCCACCAACCTAGAACAGTGGAGTCTCTATTTATGAAAGTCTTCTTCCATTTATATTTCTGGCCAAGACACTTTTACTATGTTTAGCGTAGAAATGTTCATCCCTTTCACAAAACTACTGTTCTCTTAAGGTCGTGGAAGAGTGCTAAAAAAGATTTGTAGGCCTCTTCTACTTTCCACCTTCCCAAAGCTACTCAGAGGCAATAAACACATAATTATCTATGTGCTTGAATTGGGAGCAGGTTGGAAGTAGAAGAAAAATGAAAAGGCACAAAGGAGGAAAAGAAAAGAAGTTAGCACTTTGAAATATTCCGGTAGTTTAATAATAAAAATAACAATACCTTTCAAAATATCTTTACTAACATTCTTTATTTTTTTTTTGTTTGTATATTTTGTATTTTACTCATGGATGGAGAATGTACTTTTATTACTGGTTGTATTGGGTGGTTTTCCTGGATACTTAGTGGCTCTTTTTTTGTCCTGTAATGCCAGCAATGGCTATGCTTGTGTCCAAAGATGAACAATCTCCATGCATTTTCCAAATCATCTGAAAGAGCTCTCAGAAGCCACACTTCCCATCAGAATGTTTGGGACACAGCCTGTCTGTCTTAAACTCTGGCTTTTGGGTCACTGGCAAGGTGTTGTCCTTAGTTATCTTTTTTCATGCACGCCTTCTGACCTCTGGCATTCAAAGCTTCCTGTATGCTTTTATGTAATATCAAATTCAGATGGTGGAATGTATGGAGATGCAATAAATGACTGTAAGTGTTTTAATGTGTTTCATGACTAGAACTCATAATGGTGGAATTTCTCTCCTGAGTCTCCATCTCTGTCACATTCTGTGATAATTTTCACCAGGTTACGCAGACATTCTCATAGAACTAGGGCTCAAGGGAGATAAATGGTTCCTCCTCTAATCCTCATCATACTCTCATTCTCCCTTCTTATATCAGTCTTGTCTTTACCACAGAAACTTGGAGCTTTGCAGAACAGAGAAGATGGAGGCAAAGAGGAAGAGAAAAGCACCAAAAGGAGAAAAAGCCAGTAAAGGAAGCTGGAGAGAAGAATGAAAATTTGAAAGAGGAGGAACCAATACTCTTAAAATATTTTGTAAGTATTCAACAGCAAAAGATTAAAATTACTCAAAGTCTCACTTATCCCTCCTCTCCTCGTCTTACATCTGCAGCCCCCACCATCCATCTCCCTCTCCCCAAGCCTTTCTGATACAGGACATTTCATGAAAGTCATGATGGTTTTGAACATGTTCTTTCAATATATGTATTAGAACTGTTGTTCATTACTTGGGTTCCTCTAATCAGACAAGAACTGCTTCTAACTGCTTTATCATTACTAGCAGTGAAATTTCCCTTCTTGCGAGGGACTGTCTGAGAGAATGACCCAGGAAGAGAATCAAGATTTGAACCCACCTCTTACTATTATCCTCAGGATGGAGGTACCTTGTCCTTGGACTTCTTAAGATCATTTTCTTTCTTGCTCATATTTATATTTTGTTTGTTATTATTTCTTTTCACCTGCATATCCTTGGTATTATTTGAAAACTTTTGTTTGGCTTTAGCTGTTTTCTTGAATATAAATGTAGCTGATAGAATTGCAAATGGTACTTTGCTCAAGAGTGATGGCAAAGAAAGCCTAGTTCCTTCTTTTTACTACAAGTTTGCCTTCTAAGGAGAGGCTACACTGAGGTGAAGATAGCATTATTTATGCTGGCAAATGTTGCGTGCTTGTTCTGATATTTCATTTTTTTCTACTTCCTGATATAATAATAAATCTCTTTTTTCTTTCATCCAGTCAGCTTAGAAGGGGAAGGTAGGAGGCAACTACATCCAACAATGGCATTTCTTCTTTTGGAGATTTGTTTTAATAATTACCCAGGCTTTGATGTCTGTGTTTCCATATTTGTTGTCATTCCTTGATGCTAGAGATGATTTCTCTTTGAACCTTTCATCCTCGTTACTTTACTTCCCAGAGGCAAAGGACACGCTCTGTGCCTGAGTGCCTTATGAAACACCTGGGTTTGTCTGACCCATCCCTCCACAGGTTGCAGCACCCAGGACACTATGAAAATGAAGTTATCACTGACTGGAAGTCAGCAGTACTCTGCTGGACTCAGATGAAGTTAAACCAACATGGAAGCCCAAAGGCCAGGCTGGAGAATGTCATCTCTGAACCTCCTTGAAGTAAGTTTTCAGCCAGATTCTTACTTATTTTAGTGTTGTTTTTGAGATGCCACTTCATTGGATTTTTAAAAATTTGATGCTCAGCATAGAAGCATGAGGTCTCTAACGTGGGACTTTACTGAATAAAGGGGATCATTAGCAGGCTCTCCTTTCTTTCCTCATTGTAAGAATCTCTTTTCCCTTTGTTGATATTTTACACTCAGTGCCTTAGGAGAAACACTTCCTAGGAATTACTTCTATTTTGTAGGAGTCTAGCCAAAAAATCAAAAGAGAGTTGAAGGGGAATGGAGATGAAATTCAAGAATTGATTTATAAAACATGTACTTTTTGTGTGTGTGTGAGGAAGATTGGCCCTGAGCTAACATCTGTGCCAGTCGTCCTCTATTTTGTATATGGGATGCTGCCACAGCACGGGTTGATGAATAGTGTATAGGTCCACACCCAGGATCCAAACCTGCGAACCCCAGGCCGCTGAAGCAGAGCACACAAACTTAACCAGTACGCCACTGGGCCAGCCCCTAAAATATATACATTTATGTTAGGTTTTATATGGCTCGCAGCCCATCTTTATACTATAATTCATCTGATTCTCACAGATTACTCCGAATATTATTTGTCATTCGTTCATTTCAACAAGCATCTGTTAAATTGGGTGCTTTGCAAATAAAGAGGGAGAGATTTCAACCAGAACGTAAGCCCGTGAGCACAGGATTTAGTCTGTTTTGTTCACTGCTGCATCCCTAGCACTCAGTACCGTGCGTGGCACATAGGAGGCACTCAATAAATACTTGTTGAAGAATGAGTAAATGAATGAGTGGATGTTAGTGTGACTGTTTAAGAAAGAAATTTATTTTGGTGTAAGAGATACACTAAGTATATTGGATCTGGAATTGTGGATATCATAAAGCCCACCATTCAGAAAAGGACCCCAAAGAAAACTTGAGGCACCAACTGTCAGAGGAGGTATGCTCCTTTATGTTCATAGTGGGCAGCTAGTTTATGTTCCAGATTGTTTTGACCTCTAAGGAAGTATGTGGTTAATTTCATCTTTTCATTTTCACTCTTGCTTAGAAGGTAAAAAGACTCTGATCTATAAAACCAATGAATTAGTTTTATTTACTAGTCTTCTCTGTGTTCATGTAGTGCCTCTCTCTAAGAAATTCCAAAGCATCCATCCAGTGGTTGTATTAAACCTTGTAGCTCAGTACAGAGGTTGTGAGCAGAGCCAGCCCTTGGAAAGGGCAGCATGTACTTCTGCACACAGCTCCTTAGGCAGTGCCAAGCCGACTCTCACTAGAGATTCTGTTTTTGAATTTTGTATTTGTTCTTCCTCTATGTGTGTATCCTTCCTGGGGCCAGCAGTAAAGAGAGGGGGAATAGAAGACGGGGACCTGCGATGTTGGTGGAGGACTTGGCTGACACCGTCTGTCACCCACTTCTTTTCTGTCCACCTAGCTCAGAACATCTTTTTTTCTTCTTTGCTCCTCCAACAGCAAAATCGTAGTGGGAACCAAATGCAGAATTGGCCGAGGGCACTCCCCAGCTAAGAGGGCACCATCACCTCCCTTTTGTAGTCTCGGGAGCCTAGTCTTCAGAGTGACCTCTCAGGTTATGCTGTGCCTGCAAAGGAGAGAGCAGAAGTTCTGTCTGAGACTTTAGCCATTATACTGCGCTATAAAAAGCACATAACACAGTCTAATACTTTTATGTCACAGTTGAAGTGTTGTGGTATTTCATTTTATAAGAACCTTAAGTCCAACACATAAATCTCTCTCAGGTCAGTGAAGCTTGCGGGTTTTTTTCGTTTCTTGTAATTCACTCTGAGTTCATCCAAGGCAAACGCTTCTAAACCAGCTGATTAGAAAAGACACTGTGGTGTAGTGGGAAAAGCACAAGATTGAGAATCAGGATCTCAGTTCTAGAATGGACTTTGTTGCTAACCAGCTCTTTACCCAGAATGAATCAAGACCCTGTGCCTCATTTTCTTGGCTTGTATACTAAGAGAATTGCATGAAATGAACTGCAGCAGCACTTTCAGCTCTAATGTTCTATTTGGGCTCAAGACCTTTTGTCCCTCCTTTACGCCTTTTTGAATAATGGAATATAAAGTGTTGGAAAGAACCCTAACGTCAGTTCAGTAAACGTTGGTTGTCTAACCCAGATTGAATCTAGACAATCTACTTAGTTCATAGAGGAGGGAACTAAGTGAGCACAGAAAAGTCAAGTAGCTTACCTACGTCACACAACTGATTAATAGCAGAAACCTGAGAATTTTATCCATCATGAATTTTTTTCTCAGAAAAATTCTCCTCATTACCTCTTTTTGGTGATTCAGGTGCTGGTGGTGGTGGTGGTGGTGGTGGGTGTAGAAGAAACATAAATTTTCATAAAAAGGTGGAACTGCTATCTCTGCTAAGATGGCATTGCTTATTTTGATATTCCCTGTGTATCTCATGCCAAAACATTGGTGGCTGTTGTGCAGAAGCATGTGTTGGTTGCTTTAGGATTAAACACGGACCAGAAACTCCTGGAGAAAAAGATCACCCTATTCTTTAAGAAACTAACATCTTTCTTAATTTTTCTTTCTGACTTCATTTTTAAAACCATGCTCATTATTCAAATAGTAAGGACATCAGAAAAATCCATTCAGTCAGGCAAGAACCAGTAGTTCCAGTCCAGCCTCTGCATGGGATTTAGAAAATCTGATGGATAAGTAGCATCTGCTAATGTGAAAATGATAACACTCTGTCTTCCTGCTCTGGAATGAGTGTTGTCTAAGTGTGAACTCCTCAGGCTCTCAGAGGCTGGCTCTTCTTGACTTCTCTACCTTTGAACAGTGTCACTGTTCTCAAAGTTACTCATGCTTCAAACTTTAGTCATCTTTGACTCCTCCCCTTTCTTTGATACATTGAAACAGTTGCTAAACTCATGGATTCCTTTTTTGCAAAAGGTCTTACGTCAGTTTTCCTGCTCAATTCCTATTTTTCATATACATCACATAAAGTCATATTTTGTGAGCTTACTTAAGAACACAGGTTTGGAGTCAGGCAGAACTGGGTTTGAGTCCTAGCTCTGCCACTTACTACCTATGTGTCATTGTTTAATCTCCTTGACAGTTAGTTACCTTAGCTGGGGTAACTGGGGATGAATGGGGTAAATGGGAATCACAACTGTATTGGCCTCAAAGAGTTGTGAGAATTAAATGACAGAATGTATGTAAAATATTGAGTAGAGTGCCTAGCATTTGGTAAGTGTTCAACACATAATAGTGATTATTACTGTTCACCTCTCCTTGTCAATCCTACTTCCTGCTAACAGGTTAATCCTCTCAAAGCCCAGCTCCGACATCCTCTCTTCCTTACTCCTAAAGACAGGCTCCATTGCAGAGTGGCTAAAAACTATCCTCTGCAGCTGGAGCACCTGGATTACCAATTACTAGCTGTGTAATCTTGAGCAAGTTTATTAACTTCTCTCTGCCTCAGTTTTCTTATCTGTAAAATAGGGATAATAGTATCTACTTCTAAGAGTTATTGTGGGGCTTATATTATTTAATATTAATAGGTAATATTTTAAACTGCCTGGCACACAATAACTCAACATTAAGTTTTGATAAATAAAAATGTATTCTGGCTTCTTATATTTGGTATTTTGTAAACATGCCCTGTATTCATTTCTTTGGTCTTTCTGTTCCTGCCACCTGCAGTGTAGGGTAGTTTAATAGAAACAGGACTTGCAGCTCAGGGAGAGTAGTAGGTTTTACTTACATGCCAGCTTTGACTTTTTAGCAGTGGTTACCTGGATTACTTACAAAATATTCTGAGCCTTTGTATGGCTTCAGTGGGAGGCTAGTTTTGCCTTCTATGGGCCCCAGGGGAGAAGTGGAGACATACCCTTGTATTTTGCCGCAATAAAGAAGTCACTGTCATTTATACAAATCACAATGTTTTCATAATAAAAATATACAGTTCAGGGTGAAAGATAAATTTTCTTAATACTGAGGACTAAAGACAAGAATTATCCATGGCTCTTTAAAATAGCATTCTTCTTTTTTTGGGGGAAGATTAGCCCTGAGCTAACTGCTGCCAATCCTCCTCTTTTTGCTGAGGAAGACTGGCCCTGAGCTAACATCTGTGCCCATCTTCCTCTACTTTATATGTGGGACATGGTGTGCCAAGCGGTGCCATGTCCACATCTGGGATCCGAACCAGCAAACCCCGGGCTGCTGAGAAGTGGAACGTGTGAACTTAACCACTGCGCCACCGGGCTGGCCCCCAAAAACAGTGTTCTTCTAATTCCTTTATAAACTTAAATTCTCTGAGCATTCTCTGAGGTAGGTATTATTATTATCCTCATCTGTTTTTTTACAGATGAGGGAAGGACACAAGGAAGTCAAGTAACTTGGATGAGCTCATGGAGTTAATAAATGATAGAGCTGGGATTTGAAATCTGGGAAGTCTAGCTTCAAAGTCTACACTTTTGGCCATTATACTGAACATGACTCTTGGTCCTTTGGTAACTTTTTAAATAAATCTAACAATTTAAAAATAAGATACCTTAATGCAATTTGAATACATTTGGTTCAAGTATTTTCAGACAGTTAATTCTGTAAAGGCCCAAATCATTGTTCAAATGTGTATCTCTCTGATGGTTTGGTTTGATCTAGAGATAAAATTAAGATTATCTTGAGCAATGGATTCAAACCTCTCCCTTCAGAGCTCTAGGGCTGCACAGAGGTCTTTCTGGAGTCTGAGGGCTGGTAGTGGTGGATGTAAAAGGGGCTCTGAGCTGCCACTCCCATTTCAGCCAGACTAGCCTTGTTTTATCTATTTAAAAATTAGGATTCTAAAAAGGGTTTATTTTGAAGACAGAGGTTTTTGCCTTTGAAAAGTGAAAAATCACTGATAGAAATAATTACATAGGATATTTTGGGGGCAACTCTTATCAAATACTACTTCTACTCAGTGAGCTGTCAATGTGAATTTGGCAGCTTCATGTGCAAA